TAAAGCTCACAAGTTCTAGATTTTTTTATCCTCTAGCTGGCCTATTCATCCTGGATAAGTTGTACAAAAATATCCCATTTTTCTTGATGATTAGCAAGTTAATGTTGGCAAAACATTTCTTAATTCGGATAATTAAGTACAAGGGATATATGGATTACAAATACATAGATAAATTCATCATCACGTAGACATCGTTGAATCATCAGACAAGACCAAGTCAATAGATGATGGAATTATATTATAAGGTATTGATAATTTTAAAGAACCAAATCATGTATTCTATAATAATATTCCAATAAACAACACATACAGATGACAAGACCAACTGTGAATAGGCTAACGCGGTTTATCATGATAAAAGACAAGTAATCTAATAAATTCATTGATCGATTCAAATTACTGATTAAGAAGCATGACTTGTCTATATAAGTACATATATATGTATAAATGAAACAAGCAGCGATCGTTAAGGGAATACAAGTGTGAGAGAAAATGTATGTGACTAGACCACTTTCCTTGTACAAAAGGAACCCTGGTGCTCTTTCAGAACCCCCTCCAAAGGGTCCAAATTCAGGTTATCTTGTAATCTTTGATGAAGAAGCTCAGACATACTGTTGTTTTGGTTTGTGCACGGATGACAGCATCACTGATCTTCCTTTCCCTCAGAACAAAAACTTAACCATCAACTATGGAAGCGATGATGAAGAATCCTTGTTTGTTCCAGTGTTGAATCAGCCACTGTCTTCCAACCGCTACTATGTTATAAGAAGGAAGGGGAAGCATCAAGGGTATGAATCATTTTTCTATATCTATTAAACTTGATACTATTTTAATTTTAGACCTTAGGATATGCCGTAGAAGGTGAAAATAATTGGAAATTAAGTGAGTAGTGAAATTCCATGTTGGTCAAAAATTGACTAAGCAAGGATCATGTAAATGAAAGTACTCATAAACCTAATATCTTAAGGTTTTGAGTTGAGATATGATATCTGAGCGCACTTGTTTAAGTGAGTTTGTTGTTTAGCACATTTGACATATATAAATTCAAACACTTTGGTCAACTTTTAAAGCTTTATACAAAATTTATTGATGAATTGATATTAGTAGTTAAAACATCATTTTGAACTTCAGAGTTTTGAATTTATTTCAGCCAAGCTAGCACAAGTTCGAAGGAAGAGGACACGAGCACTTGTTTTTGCTGCACTTTTAATGAAGATGTTAAACCAAGACCTTTGGATCCCTTTGATGATTATCAGCAGGTTGAAATAATCAAGAAGAGTTCTGGTTTCCAAGCAAAATCAGCTGCCCCAGATGGAATTCCTCCTGGTTTTCTGAGGTTCAAAGGTTGGACTGTTACAGCGCTCAATCCTAGCAATTACATTTTGGATGAAGCTTTGGGATTGAACGAATCCTTACGTTCAAACCTACCAGATTTCAACTTTTCTCTATACAATGATCGTTCTGATTCAGTGGTTGTTGGAAAGTGGTATTGCCCTTTTATGTTTGTGAAGGAAAGAATGAAATTAAAGGATCAGATGAAAATGTCAGTGTTCTATGTGTTGACTCTTGAGCAAAGATGGGAAAAGATATTTTCAAAGGAAAATGGAAACAGTGGAGAAAATGGTGTGCTTGTTGATGTTGTTATTCAAACAGAAGCTGCCAAGGTTGCTGGAAAGGATGCTGTTTGGGACGAAAATGGTGTGGTTGATAGGGTGTTGTGGTTTCAGAGTTTTGATGGTGTGGGAGCAGAGACAAGTGTTGGATTGAGTGTAGAAATTGTTGAGAGAATGAAATGGGAACAAGAAAGAGTTGGATGGATTGCAGGGAATGAAAGACAAGTGAGAGTAGAAAGAGTTTGGTGGAACAAACAAGTGGAAGAATTTTAGCTGCTATGTGTTGGTGGAAAGTTTTGTATTGAAGAGAATGGATAGAACATTGGTGCTTACTTATGATTACAAGCACACACATCAAATTAGGAGCAAATGGGAGTGATCGTTACTTTCTCAAATCTCTTGCTTTAGTTTAGTTGTTTTTCTTCTTAACTGTATACTTCAATGTTTTGATTCTTGTTATTTTAAATTAGGGACATGTTATATTTACAAACTTTTTTGTTTACAAAATAAACTACACTAAGTACGACTGGTCATACTTTAATCATGCAGTGTACGACCGGTCGTACTTAGTGTAATTTGCAAAAAAAAATTGTAAACGGAACATATACCTTTAAATTATGTTATACAGCTTATTTATGCTATACAACTTCTATCACAGCCAACTCTGTTTTGGCTCTTGTTAGTTTGTAATGAGAATAAAAGGCAAGAGTTGGAGTTTCCTAGAACTGGCATTGTAAAATATAGAGGATAAATCTTGTATATCTTTATAAAAAAAAGTTATTAATGTGCTTGTAGTTTTTATACCATAATTACTTATATTTTGACATTTATTGTTTGTTATTATATTATATTTTATTAATTAAAATAATGATAATAGATCTTTTCATTAATAGTACGTGCTAATTGAATTCTAATTATAAATATTTTAGTTTGGATTTTTTGTTGATACTAATTGAATTAAAAAATGTTCTCAAATTTGGTGGATAAAAAAAAAAATCAAATATACAAATTCTTGACTGTTTTGCAACACCATCTATTTTATCATAATAATAATTATAATAATGAAAAGAGATATAAATATGGATGAGACCAAATACAATATAGGCTGGTCAAAGTGTACTGGATCAAATCACACACGATTGAAGTGAGAAGGCTTTTGTGTAATCTGTCTTTGGGCTGGTGGATGTTGATGATGATGGTAGGACTTTGGTTCTCCTTCTGCGCGGTGAGCCTGACTGAGGGTAGCAGTAATGACACTCCAACGCTCAAGTCAGTATTAATGTCAGATTTATGTGTATTCTTATTGAATTAGATGATCATACCTGGGTATGTACCCTCTGTTTATATAGTGGTTTTGATGCCGCCTTAGGGTTGCAGGTGCTTTAATAGCCTTATGAAGGCGGTATGACCTCTGATTGACTGTTCAAGGGCTGCAGGTTCTGATAGTGCTTTAATAGCTTTATCTCTTGATGTCAGGCTACCTTGATAGAGTGGTGACAAGCTGAAGTTGTCTTCTGTTTACTTGATCAAAGGCGCGGTGGACCTTTATTAGTTCCTGAACTTGCTTCCTTATCTCTGAAATTATGTTAAAGGACGGTTACATGTGCGATGGTGGCATCGCGCCATGTTATGCGCGATGTAAGCCATCGCACCCAATCTGGGCCTTGTGGGTTTGGACCTTTGTTCTATGTATTTGGGCCTCTGATGGGCCTATCATATTTTATCCGGATCAAATACTAAACTGTGTCATTTTTTTGTTGTTGGTAAACTACCGTGTCGTATTTATTATATGGCGATTTCTTATTTATTCATAGTTTTATTTTTCTTAAATTATTAATACTTCTTATTTGTAACTGTTACTAGTAATTGTAAATATTTTAAAAGGCCTGTTTGGTGTGATGTATAAGGCTTGATAGTATAAGTTTATACTATACGTTAGGACATTTTCAGTTGTTTGGTGTGACCATCGTATAGTATAAGCTTATACAACATAACCCCTTAATACATCAAAATGATGTATAACTTAATCCGACCTACGGAGGGTGGATTAGGCCTGATAAGGGGTTGATGTATTAATATTGCTTACAATTACAATTCTCAAGAACTAATATATCATTTCAATATTAATATATTAAAATAAATTTTTTAATATATTAATTTTTAAAATATTGGAAGATATTATTTTATACAATACCATACCAAACACTAGATAATATTAAAATTTAATTAGGTCTTATACTATCAGACATTATCCTACACTATGCACCAAACATGCCCAAAAACTTCGCCGCGCTTATTTTTTTAATAAAATGTTATAGTTAAATAAATACTTCAATATTTTGACCAATCAAATAACTTTTTCTAACATTTTCGGTAAAATAAATTTCTCAGCATATTTCTAAAATTCAGGATTTCAGGATAATAAAAAATTTGTCCCGTATCAAACAAGGATTTATTTTTGTTGTTTTTAATTGTTTAAGTGCGTGAGGGTTCACCATGTTTTAAGAAAATAAAATAACAAAAGTGTTTTTCCGAAAGAAACTTTTTCAAGGATATCTAAACACGGTGAAGGAGTTCAATTTTTTTTAAAAATTATTAAAAATAAAATTGGCTATAAAAAAAAATAAAATAAAATAAAATTAACATTAACATCAACAGTATTTTTAATAAAAATATAAGAGAAAAGTGTTTCTCATTTTAAATGACAGAAAGTTATATCATTTTAAGAGAGATACAGACACAGAAAATTTGAATTTTAAATTAAAAAAAACCACCCACTTTCTCTCTCCCATAATTTTCGTTTTTATGTGTCTATCTCTCTTCTAAAATGACACAACTTATGTCATTTTAAATGACAAACACCAAACCCAAAATATAAATACATTAGAATTACAACCTTGTATATTTATTTATAAATAAACCAAAATACCTCGTATATTTATTTATAAATAAACCAAAATACGTATATTTCTGATGCACGCTTTTTTTTTTTGGTGAATGTCTGATGCACGCTTTTAACTTTATATAGAAATTGTAAACGAATTTTATTATAGAATAAAACACATAAAAAAGGGTAAAAAAATTAGATAGTTTTAAAAATAATATTAACTATATTAGTACAATCAATAAATTGATTAAGAGAAAAATTTGGATTTGAATCCTCTCACTTAAGTGAAAAAGTAATTATATTATTTGATAATAATTCATTTAAAAGTTATATATATATTTTTTATCTCTCGTAATTACAAAACCAATTTTTAAGACGAGAGATCCAAATCCGAAAAATTTCATTTCTGCCACTGTGTTAGTAAGTACTCTATAAGCCCTCGTCAACTTGAAAAACATTCCCAGTTCTCTTACACTTTGCGGGAAAAAGCATTGCGGAGGAGAAGGAACAAGCAGCGAAAAACAAACACAAGGTCGTTGTTGCTGTTGTTGTATTGAGTTTCTAGGGTTTCTTCCTTTGCTTCTATTTCGTGCAATGGCCAACGTTGTGGATCAAGATCAGCAATGGTTGCTCAATTGCTTGTCTGCCACACTCGACCCCAACCACGAGGTTCGGTGTTTTGCTGAAGCTTCCCTCAATCAGGCTTCTCTCCAACCAGGTTTTGTTCGCCACCTCAATTGAATTCTCTTCACCTAAAACCAAAGAAAATGAAAATTTTGCTCTCTGAAACCCTTATTTGGTTTGTTATTTGAAGAATTCCGAGAAAATGCAAGAAAATGCAGGAGAGGAAATTTGAGAGGTTGAGAGAATCTGAATGCTGCTTATTGATTCTGAAAATAATAACAAACTGAACTGAATAATTACTTCTGCTAACTGTCTGAACAGAATCAGTTTGGTTCTGTTACGGGGAGCTTTAAGCTCCTTGTCAGTGATGCGGGACATATGACAGACAGTATCTCTTGCAGCACCCCTCAAACTCAGGGAGGTTGAAGAAACTGGAACAGATCAACCAATCTGAGTTTGTTATTTGTGCTCTTTATGTTAAATGGTGGGAGCATGGGAAAATAATTGCAGTTGAGGAGAATAGTGATGATGAATTCGGGAAATTGAATTTGTTCAACAATGCCATTTTTGTTTTTTGCTTTTAATGTGTAAGAATTACTTAAGATGAGGGGGAGGGGTGATTTTTGGTATTTAGTTGGTGCAAGCATATAGATAAGCATAAAACAAGGATATGAGCATATTTAGTGCATGTTTGGTAAAGCTTATTTTGAAAGATAAAATTGCTTTTTCTTCAAAAGCTCTCTTTTGATAAGATTTTGATTATTAGCTATTTAAAACATAATAAAAGCTAATTCAAACACACACTAACTAGGATGGCAGCTTGTCGAGTATAAGCATATGCCAGGGATATATATATATATATATATATATATATATATATATATATATATATACATCATTCGGTGATGTAAAATTACCAAAAGTTATATGCATTCACGCTAACACAAAATTCATACAAAGTTGACATAGTTGTCCTACTCCTTTTGTTCTAGAGGCAATAGAAATTGCAACTTTTTCTGTTTATGTTAAATGGGAAATATATGTATTTTTTCCCCCCCCTTAATGAAGCACTACATGCTGTTTTATCTTCTTTTACGATGTTTATGTTCTCTAAAACATGACAATTGGAGATCAAGCCATGAAGGAGCACGATCAGTAATTCTCATTCAGTGTCACTTTTATTTAAACTAAATTTTCAGTACTATGTTTTTATGTTAATATTGAATATTGAATTGTCCTGAAGGTTTTGGCAGTGCATTATCAAAAGTTGTTGCAAACAAGGAGCTTGCGATGGGATTGCGCCAGATATCCTTTTTCATAATGATCACATACTAACTTTGATTTCTGATCCCGAACCGAAATATTTCCTTCCATCTTTTCATTATCTTTCTTAAAGAAAGAAATACTTTTTGACATAGTATTACATTGGATGTTGATAGTAACAACCATTATGTTAGTTTTCATCATTGGTGGGAGGGATTGCTAAAATAGCACTTGCTTGGAAAGAAGAAGAAAAATAACTGATTAGACTGCTAAGGAAACATTTGTTATTGTATGCAATAATGCAAGAGCTGACATTTTCATTGTTATCAAAGGAAAAAATATTTTTTATTTTAAAGGACACAAGTTCGTATCATTTTAAGTGAAACTATGTGTTTTAATGCATATTTAGTAGTTTTTTTATATTCTCTCTCCTTCACAAAATTAGGAGGAGAGAAAAGGTAAAAACCCACCAAAATACTGTAGTTTCACTTAGAATGACACAAACTTGTGTTCTTTAAAATGACAAACACTATTTCCATTATTCAAATTTTATGATCTTTTTAATAACTTGACGAGGACATTCATGTTACCTGTCTCTTCCCCTCCTTAGATTTTTATTCTTTTAAGAGAAAACAAAAGTTTCATGCTTGCTTGTTTGTTCCTTTTTTTCCTTTTACATATGAAAAACTTTACTAGAGTTACAACTTAAGTGTATGTTCGAGTAAATTATTCATTTCCCTCCTTCCATAAGCTTATGGACTTGGATAAATTAACCTTCCTCTACTTAGCTGCAGTCCTTCTTAAGCAGTTAGTTAAAAAGCATTGGCAGGAGGGTGAGGACTCTTTTGAACCTCCTGTTATTTCTAGCAATGAAAAGGTAAATATACTTTCATTTCTGTTGTGAATATTATTGAAAAGTGGATGTCCAGAAACTATTATAGGAAGCTACTATCCAAGTTTGGTTTGGTTAATATTTAATAACAGAGAAACTTGTATGTGATTAGTATTTGATATGGTTTTGGATAATTTACCCTTAGATTGTAAATACTTCTTTGTTTGCCCTATATAATATTTGCCTTTGTTGTTGATCCATTACATATTTCTCTTTATATTCTATCGCTTGATGGTTGGTTATATTTATTTCCACAACAGAAACAACCAAAGCTTTTTCCCACTAGGTGGGCTCAGCTACATGAATTAAACAACACCATTGTGTTATTTCTCTTTATATTCTATCGCTTGATGGTTGGTTATATTTATTTCCACAACAGAAACAACCAAAGCTTTTTCCCACTAGGTGGGCTCAGCTACATGAGTTAAACAACACCATTGTGTTATGTCCAAAACCTGTTCTTCAGCGAGGCCATATAATTGCAGTTCCTTTTTAATGGTTTCACTTAGTCTTTTTTTCTCTACTTCTTTCTATTTGTAGACAGTGGAATACACTGAACCTTAGTAAATTATTTCTTCCTTTATGAGTGGTTACCTACATCTTAGCCTTTCCCGTCTTCTCTTTTCTCAAAACCACACAAATTGACTCTCATTCTGTGTCTCATATTGCAGTTGGATTGGGAATTAAAAAAGTGAGTTATTGGGTTTTATTTATTCTTAAAAGACTCAAGTATTATTCTTACCAGGATATTCAAATTGTGTTGAAGTTTGTCTGTTCACATGCATGGACCAATAAAATGTTTGTGCTTGTTCATGATCATCATAAATTGTACCTTGATTTACAATACATCATTTTAAACTTTTCTATCAAAGGTAAAGTGTTAAAGTATTCATTGAATTGTTAATTTTTTTATTTTCACATAGGAATTGAATTTTTTTATAAGACTTGAGAATTTGTGGGGGCGAGATAGTTGCTTCTGTTTTCATTATATTTCACTTTGAGGATTCTTGTTTGGAGCAGATAAAGTGTTGTAGCAATAAAACTTCTACTGTTATCCAAATTTTTTGCTGGGGAATTTATTACAAGGAATAAAGAGATGGAAAAAAATGAGCAAGGTAATTTTAAGATTGACTTTGTTGCAATGATCCTGACAAACTCAAAATCGTGGCATCGGTCAGGATTATTGTGACTGTGTTTCATAAATTTGATAGTGTCTTGCTATTGGGAGATCTGAAATCACTTTGCATTTGTTGCTGTCATCACTGTCGAAATTTCCTTGTATTTGTTTATATGCAGAAGAGTGTTTCTGGTCTATGATAACACCAATTAGTTAGTATTTGCCTCCTGCTTAGAAGTCTAGAAAATAATTTTCTGACAGCTAGACTGATTCTGCCATAGCTTTTTACTGGATGAATATGGGCCCGTTTGTTTTTTGTTTTTATTTTTATAAGGAAAATAAATGCTTTTTAATCGAAAAAATATGTCAATTTTTTAAAGATAATTCGATGATGTTTTCTTATAAGCAAAAACACAGAAAAAAGCAATTTTAGTATTTTTATCAAAAGTGTTAGAAATATAATATAAATATAAAACCATTGATGTGCCTTCACTTAACTGCTTAAGCTTTTGGGTTAAATTGATTGTTTGACATAGTATTAGAGTCTTTATGACCACGTGGTCTGGAGTTCGATTCTTGTCGCCTCCATTCTTCTAATAAATATTTAATTATGAAATTTTTTAGTACAGGTAGGTGGGTCCTGTATGAGAGTACATGTTAGAAATGTAATATAATTAGAGAAACCATTCATGTTAACAAAAAGTTTGAAGTAGTTTATGAAAAAGAGCTCTCAACAGACCTATATCATGAAAGCCCTTTTCCTCCAAGCTTATCGACATGCGAATATATTTTCTCTGCCATTGAGCTTTTGGTTTGATAGACTTCTCTTTCCTCTAGAGAACGATGGAGGGTGGTGGCAAGGTTTTGTAGCCCCTAAATTGGGCCCGACTTAATTTTGAAGGTTCAAGGTTGTCCCATGGATCTCATATACACCACTGCAGATAATATATATTTTCGAGAATCTGAATTTCTGGAACACCTAATGATAGAAGAATGCATAATATGTGCTTTTGGTGCTTAACTTGCCTATGAAATAATGGTTTTTACGTTACTGATGAAACTGTTTCTTCTTCCATGTCAACTTTGAATTGTTCTTTTCTGCAAAAGGCCATTTAATAAAACTGTCTACAAAAAAGCACGTTTCTTGAGTTAATGACATTACGTTTCATCATCAGGAAATCATCCGCAGAATGCTTTTATTGACATTGGATGACCCTCATAGGAAAATTTGCACAGCTATTGGTATGGCTGTGGCATCCATTGCAGTGTATGACTGGCCAGAGCTATGGCCAGATTTATTACCATTTCTCCTGAATTTGATTAACGATCAAACCAACTTGAATGGAGGTTAGCATTTCTGTCTGACTTGGTGATTTGTGGGATTTTCTATGCATGAATGATTATGGAAAAGCCTTAAGTGAAAAATGGCTCCATTTTCTTTTAGTGAGTAAAGACTAAAAATTATATGGTAGGAGCACTTTTTTCCCTTGAATTTTTGAATTGCTTGCTCTACGCTTTTCTTAGCATGCTTCTGATACACTTTTATCATCGGCCACAAGTTTCATTTGTCAGATGATTAATCAATGAAATAGTTAAATTTGGCTTGGATGCTGCTGACTAGTTGATTAATTCTCTCTTTATTAATTTTACTTGAAATAGTTTTATGAACAAAAATTGTGCTGTTTTGGGGTTACAATGATTGAGGAGTTTCTGTATGTTAATCCACTTTTTTTTAATTATTTTATTCTAGTGCATGGAGCTATGAGATGCTTGGTTCTTCTCTCTGCGGACTTGGATGATAAAATGGTTCCAACATTAATACCTGCTCTGTTCCCAAGTTTGCTGACAATTGTATCCTCTCCTCAGGTTATATTTTGTATATTTTTCTGTTAACCTTCTAATTATCCTGTTTTATGTTTTTATTTTGCTTTATTTATGTTAACATTATCTTCTTTCATTATTTTTTTTTTTTTGATGTTTTTCCGAGTTGAATGGCTTGGAAGAAAGAATTTAAGTTGCTTTTAGGAGAATTACTCCTATGCTTCTAAGTATATGTTAAGAGTGAAAAAATCTATAATTTTTTTGGAATTAAGTATAGAAGTGTTGACCCTAAAATCTAGGGTGATTAATTAGAGATTGATTCTGTGTTATTGATCAGAGCTTGATGGAGGACTGATTGATTGACAGACTATGCTTGTAACATTCCTCTAGGACATAAATTGAGATATAGGCTGGGGGCATTTAGCACACATTATGCTTCAACCAAAACTCTTTTTATATTATCGCCATCTCTCGCTCGCTCTATTGTTTTATCTCTGTAATTTTTCAACATGGTATTAGAATGATACCATTTACCTTGAAACATAGGGCATTCCCTAACTTGATTTGAAAGAAAAAGAAAAAGAATTAAAAAAAAATCCTTAGTTGCCTCAGAGGAGGCCAACATTGTTCACTATACCTTCATGTCCTTCTCAGTTCTGTCACATGTCAGATTACATCTTTGGGAGTTAGATTTCAGATCATGTTTGAGGAGCAATCTCAGGAGTTGCACAACAGAGGGCTCATTTGCAATTGCAAGTTGTGGGGGTTTGTGGTCTTCTCATCCAAAGTTGTTGACCGCTTATTTGGTGCTATCATTTGTTCAATCTGTCATTTGGAGTTAGGTGGTGATTTGCTATCTGTATGCATTTGGGTAGTGTTTTGTTGCTATGTTCTCTAGATCGAATTATTTGATATTAAATCATTCACGTAATTTCACCTAACGACTTAAACTTTTGGGAAAGTTGGTTTGTGATATAGTATTGAAAAATGTGGTTTAGAGTTCGATTCTTGGTGACTCCATCCTTCTAAATTGAAGTTAAATTTCAACGCAAGATAAGGTGAGCTTGTGCACTATCCACGCTTAAATCTAATCGCTTAAGCTTTTTGTAGAGCTGGTTTATGACAAGAATCACACCTAGGAGTGTGGTGCTTCTAGACCCACATATTTATGCATAGCTATTGAAGATTTTTGTGGTGACTGCTGAGCTAGTTGTTTCACGAGGTTTATTGTCTTTGTCAATCTGACTCTGGTCTGATAATGCAGTGCTGCGAAACTGGTGGTGATTGCACATTTCTATTTTGAACTTTTACTTGAGTTGATGTTCTGCCTATCTCTGCGAATTAATGGACCAGTTTCTGGGCAGTGAGTGTATAATATTTGTTGAAATTACATGACTTAGGTAGGAAAAGAGGAAAGGAGAGAATATAAACTCAATCAAATGTTGAGTTGATGTGGCGTATTATGATCTGATACAAACTACAAAGCACTTATATCTTTTTGTACTATCACTAGACTCATAATCCTAATCAATAAGGAAACAAATCATGAAATATAATAAAATATGGAAAGCACTCATAAGAAATCATCTAATATATTCACAATATTCTAAGATGCAATAATGATGTTTTGAGATGTTTTTAATACTCGCCTCAAGCTAAAGCTGACTATGCTTTAAGCTTGTTACAATTAAACACAATAAAAGAAAACAGGCAAAAATATAACTCAGTGGTGGGCCACAACGTCTCGGACTAGAGATGGGGCTAGATTGCATTTGGATAAAGAAGGTGCTAGGGTGACTCATAGTCAACATAAGTCACCACTAGTATGATTCATCTGTGGGAAAGAAGTCACCATCCAGAATGATCATTGAAAAAGGGTAATGAAATATATTATTGAATTGTAAATAATTTGTGCAAAGGGTTCTCTATTTATAGAGAATACATTACCTAGAATTCTTGACCTAATGGGCTAAGCCCAATACAACAAATAAATAAATAAATAACTATTATTTACAGCACTCCCCCTCAAGCTGAGGAATAGATATTTATCATTCCCAGCTTGCTAGTAAGCTCTTGAAATCTGTCTGAAGGAAGTCCCTTTGTCAATACATCAGCTAATTGACGTCCAGTGGGAATGTATGGAGTGATAATCAACCCGCTATCAAGTTTCTCTTTGATGAAATGGCGGTCGACCTCAATATGTTTAGTCCGATCATGTTGAACTGGATTATGAGCTATACAAATAGCGGACTTATTATCACATAGCAGCTTCATAGGTCCCTCACATTTTATTTTTAGATCATCAAGTACAATTTTTAGCCACAGTAACTCACAAATGCCTTGAGCCATAGCTCGAAATTCAGCCTCTGCACTTGATCTGGCAACCACATCTTGTTTCTTACTTCTTCACGTCACCAAGTTACCACAAAGAAACATACAATATCCAGTTGTAGAACGACGGTCAGTCACAGATCTAGCATAATCAGCATCAGTGTAGACTTCTAAAGAGAGATTGCCATCACACCGGATTAACAGTCCTTTACCAGGAGTAGCTTTAAGATACTGAAGAATTCTCTCTACTGCCTGCATGTGTTTCTCCTTTGGATCGTGCATAAACTGACTGACAACACTAACAACATAAGCTAGGTCTGGTCTAGTATGAGCCAGATATATCAATTTCCCAACTAGCCGTTGATATTGTCCTTTATCAACTGGAGGACTCTTCTCTTCATAGCCTATCTTATGATTCTGCTCAATAGGAGTATTAGAGAGTTTACACCCAAGCTTTCCTGCTTCTTTGAGAAGATCAAGAACATATTTCCTCTGGCTGATGAAAATTCCTTTGTTTGAATGAGCTACTTCTATCCCTAGGAAATATCTCAGTTTCCCAAGGTCTTTAACTTCAAATTCAAAGGCTAGTCGTGTTTGCAGAATATGTCTCTCCACAAAATCATCACCTGTTATAATAATATCATCAACATATACAAGGAGCACAGTGAGCTTCCCATCTTGGGAGTGCTTAAAGAAAAGAGTGTGATCTCCTTGACTCTGTTTGTATCCTAAGGTCATCATAACCTTAGTAAACCTCCCAAACCAGGCACGAGGTGACTGCTTCAATCCATACCAGGCTTTTCTTAATCTACAAACTTTATTTTCTCCGTCCACAGAATCAAAACCAGGCGGGATTTCCTTGTAGACTTCTTCTTCTAACTCACCATTAAGGAAAGCATTCTTCACATCAAATTGATTTATATCCCAATTGTAATGGGCAGCAAGGGATAACAAGACTCTCACCGTATTCATCTTTGCAATTGGAGCAAAGGTTTCTTCATAATCAATGCCATAGTGTGAGTGTAACCCTTGGCGACTAACCGAGCCTTGTATCTCTCAAGAGTGCCATCAGAATTATACTTTAGGGCATAAACCCATCTGCACCCTACTGCTTTCTTTCCATTGGGTCTATCAATAACCTCTCATGTTTTATTTTTCTCCAACGCATTCATCTCCTCTTGCATGGCTTGAGCCCAATTCTCATCATTTAATGCTTCATGTACTGATTTTGGGATTGAAATAGAATCTAGTGCTGAAACAAAGCTTTTGTGCTGCACAGAAAGATTAGTAGAAGAAACAAAATGGGAGATAGGGTATTGAGTACAAGATCTTTTCCTTTTTCTTAGGGCAATGGGTAAGTCATCAGAAGCAGAAGCAATGGGTAAGTCATCAGAGGTATCAGAAGAAATAGGCAAATCATGAGAGGCAATAATATTAGAATCAGAAACAAGAGATTCAGGACTTACCAGTGGTTCAGACAATTGAGGTTGCTGGTGAGACAGTATGGGTTGTTTCCTCCTCTGATATACCAATTCAGGAGTCAAAATCTTTCGTATCTCAGGTGTATATGAAGGAGTAGACACACTAGGAAGAGGTGTAGGAGTAGACAAGGACGATCCAGACGCAAAGAAGGAAGGGGATGAGTCTTCTGAAGAACTGTTCTCCCCCTGAAGATGAAGACCCAGGAAATAAGATTCAGATTCTTGAAAGGTGACATCCATAGAAACAATAAATTTTTGACTTGGTGGATGATAACACTTGTACCCTTTTTTATCAGGGGCAAAACCAAGGAAGACACACTTAAGAGCCCTAGGATCTAACTTATTGCGATGTTGTTTATGAACATGTACAAAGGCAACACATCCAAACACTCTTGGTGGAAGGCTCTGCAAAATTGGAACAGAAAGAAAGAAGGAAGTCATGGAATGAATAGGACGGGTATTGTTAAGGACCCGTGAAGGTAAGCGGTTGATCAAAAAGGTTGCAGATAACACGGTTTCTCCCCAATAAGAATTACGAACAGATGTCTGGAAAAGTAGTGCTCTAGCAACTTCAAGGAGGTGACGATTTTTTCTTTCAGCAACCCCGTTTTGTTGAGGGGTATCAACACATGTGAGCTCATGAATCATACCTCTGTCGGAAATGAATTGCGACAGGCGTTGGTTGACGTACTCAGTACCATTATCAGATCTTAGTCTTTTAATACACTTACCAAACTGAGTCTTAACCATATGATGAAATCGAATAAATATCTCTGGTACTTCAGACTTGTCTTTCATCAAGAATATCCATGTTACACGAGTACATTCATCAATAAAAGAAACAAAACACCTTGCACCTGAAACACTATGCACTTTAGAAGGGCCCCAAACATCAGAATGGATAAGAGAAAAAGGTTCGCTGCCTTTGATAGTGCTAGAAGGAAATGACACTCGATGGTGTTTTGCAAATTCACAAACATCGCAATGGAAGGTCTCAACTGACTGATTTAGAAACAGAGAATGAAACATTAACTTCAATAGACCGAATGGTGGATGCCCCAGACGCTTGTGATGGAGCCAAATCATAGACTCTGCAGTAGAAGGATGACGTGTCATTAATAACTGATTTTTGCTATCATTTATAGCATGTTCTGGAAGGAGATAATACAACCCATCCTGCTCATTAGCAACTCCAATTGTCTTCTTCGTGGTAAGATCCTGAATAACACAATGAGAAGAGAAAAATGTGATAGAACAATTCTAATCAGTTGTAAGTTTTTGAGTGGAAATAAGATTAGTAGAAAGCTGAGGAACATAAAGAACATTTTTAAGAAACAAGGAAGGTTGAATTTGAATGTTACCAGAACCAGTAACTGATTTATGGGATCCATCAGCTACGGATATAGTATGACTACGAACAATAGGATGATAAGAAAGAAAAAACTCAGCACGACAAGTCATATGATCAGTTGCACCAGAATCTAAAATCCATGAGGTTTTAAAATCAGTGCAAGAAGCAAGAAGAGATGTAGAACGGTCAGATGGCTTACACATATTATCAATAGCGGGTTTAAGCTGATCCAACTCCCTTTGCTGAATATTCACATATGGAGAGACATGTGGAGACTGTGTAATAATCGAACCATCTTCTAAATTGGCCATAGTGATAAGACAGAGTGAAAAATAGAACCAAAAACACACAATGTACACCCAAACGACGTCAGATCAGAGACAAAACCATGTAGGAATTTTTTTTTTTGGTGAACAGTACTCGATGAACAGTACCGCGTGAACAATGCGCGGTGAACAGTACCGCATTGTTTTTTTTTTTGGAGCTGTTCCGGTCGTTTGATGAAAAAGAAACCTCCGTAGAATGATAGATCTAAGAAAACAGAGTGAAACAAGGGTCCTCACGGTCCAAAAGGTCCCTATAAAATTTTTTCCGGCGGCGGCTTTGTGGCGGCAAGAGGCAAAGAGGGTTGGATTTTTAAAGACGGTGATTTGCGGAAGCAGAGCCCTCAGAATCGAGAGCTCTGATACCAACTTGAAAAAGGGTAATGAATTATATTATTGAATTGTAAATAATTTGTACAAAGGGTTATCTGTTTATAGAGAATACATGACCTAGAATTCTTGACCTAATGGGCTAAGCCCAATACAACAAATAAATAAATAACTATTATTTACAACATCATTGATGGGAAGAGAAGTCACCACTGGTATGATTCATTAGTGCAAAATGACAACGTGATAAACACATTTGCACTTTCTCTCGTCAATGCTATGCTAGTATTTGAAAAGAGCCATATAGTTGCCAAAACATTGACAAACTAGAGATAGCCAGAACATGTCAGATCTGACCACCGAATGCATAAAACCACAAACCAAGGGAACTAAAAAGCCATGGGAAGGTGGCAAACGGAGGCAATGGGGCTGGGCCTAACTAGAGATGGTTTAGTGAGGCTGGTGGGGGCAGTGAGAAGCAGAACACACCTTAGATCAGTAGATCTGATATGGACAGCTGTGGGAAGAGGGAGAAAGTGTCCCGACAAGATACACAGCAGATGGAATGAACTGATCTTGGGATTCTAAAGAAGGTGGTGGCAGTGGCAAGCAGAAAAGCCCACCAGAGCAGATGAACCAGAGAGAGAAAGGATGACTGGAATTTTGGTACAACCAATAGGAAGGATAAGGTCACTGAAACTTAAGGTGAAACGGATTATACCAAATAAACAAGTTTCAAACTTAAGGAAACTCGGCAACGGAATAGTGACGGGATAAGTCATGGAGGATAGAACCACTCTGATACCACATTGATATTATAGGATTTAGGTAGGAAAAGAGAAAGAGAGAAATAAAGACTCAAATATTAAGTTAATATGGGGTAGTATGATGTGATACAAAATGCAAAGCACTAAAATCTATATATCCTAGTACTTGACCCCTAATCCTAATCAAAGAAGGAAACAAATGATGAAATATAATGGAATATGGAAACCACTCCTAAGAGATTGTATGAGATACTTTACAATACTCTAATATACAATAATGATATTATGAGATATTTTTTAGATAATCTAACAATATTGCAGGCTTTGGATTTGAAACTTTTCGGCTTTTTATGTTGGTGGCTACGAGCTCTGCACGATGCTATGTGATTTTCATTAAATTTTGTTTTTTAATTGGTGATTTCTTGGTTGCTTTGCTTCGATGTTGTGAGTCTAGCTTTGTTTATTTTTTTTTGTCATGGGAGTTTATGGTTTAGTTTGAAGTTGTGGTAAAGTTGTTTCTTTGTGACTGAAAGGTCATGGGTTTGAATACGGGAAATAGTCTCTTTGCAAATATGCAAAGGTAAGGCTGTATACAAGGATTGCCTTCACCTCTCTGTCGCTAGTCGGGATTTAATGGGGAGTGGTTTCTGATGGCGAGCCTCAGAGTAACGGTAAGGTTGCTCCCTGTGACTTGACGGTCACTAGTTTGAATTTGGAAAATAATTTCTTTGCAAAAATGCAATGGTAAGATGCGTACAATTGACCCTTACCCATTCCCTCAGAAGTCGGGGAGCCTTATGTACTGGGGTTTGCCCTTTGTTGGAGTTGTGGATGGAAGACCTTGGGTAATAGTAAAAGGGTTTTGTTTGTGTTGCTGGGTGGTGTGAGACCCAGGTTGTGAATTGCTGGAAGAATGCCAAGGGGGCAACTCACACCAAGGTGTAGTGTAGTTGATAGAAAAGATTGAGAGCTGTCCAGAGAACAGTGATGAGAATGTTGAAGGGGTCAAGATTGAAAGCTGTCTAGAGGATGACAGCCTTGATAATGTTGAAGGGGTTACTCAAGTATTGTGAGTCAAAGACATCTAAAAGCAATCTGCAAAGATATCTAAGAGCTAGTTGCCTAATTTCTTAGATGGCATGTATTTTTGTTCTGTTGGGTATGAGTTTTCATTTTGAGGGAATGGGGAAGGGTAAGAGTATATATAACTGTTTAGGAAGGTTTGGTGCATTGAGTAAGGAAGTGTTGAGTCCTAAAATCAAGGGTGATTGATTGTAAATTGATTCTAAGAGTTTGATTGAAGGCTGATTGATTGACATAATATGCTTGTAAGTTGTAACATAATTTCAGCGTTCAGTACAACCTGAGGTGTATGCTGGGGGAAATTCATGGATTGTATTTCATTCTACAGCCCTTTTAACTGTTGCAATTTCTCTGTCTATCTCTCTGTTATTGTCTTCCAATCCCTTCTTTTGCCTCTTTAATTTTCAAAGGCATGTTACAGTTACTCAGCATCTCTGTGTTTAGATTTCATGGTTTTTGCATATTACTGTTGTTCTGCATCTCTGTGTTTACATTATTTTTTTTTTTCTCTCTATCTCTTCTCTTTGATATCTTTCCCCTCCATTATCTATATTTTTACATATTCATATCTTTCCATCTAAGAAAGGAAGGGAGCATATTGAATGAAATTGACAAATCTGGTTATAGACAGAGCCTGCATTTTGCATAGTAGTTTGGTCTATTGTCAAAAGTTTTCTTTTCAAATTTCTTCAAGCAATATTGAAATATTTCTACTAATGTAAATTTTTTGATAATTCATTTCATTACTTTTCCCAGATCTATGAACTCTTCTTAAAAAGTATATGTTAAATTCATCTTCTGTCACCTCTGATAACTTCTTAATCTTTTTTTCTTTTTTCTTTTTTATTGCCATGCAGATATATGACACATACATACGAACCAAAGCCCTTTCTATAGTGTATTCTTGCACTTCTATGCTGGGGACGATGAGTGGTGTCTATAAGGTATTTTCTTCCCACTAAGTGACTGTGCACAGTTAGTGTCGGTGGCTGCGTATTTTCTATTTAATTATTAACAGATCTAGATTTCCTGTTTAGGCAGAAACAAGTTCTTTGATAGTTCCTATGCTTAAACCATGGATGGACCAATTTTCTTCTATTCTAGAAATTCCAGTTCAATCTGAAAATCCAGATGATTGGAGTATCAGAATGGAGGTTAGTCTGGTTCTTTTCCTAAGTCTATTTTATCTTTTTTTTCCTAGTTTCATGTGTAATTATTTTTCTTGTTTAAGGTTTTGAAGTGCTTAAATCAGTTTATTCAGAATTTCTCAAGCCTCATTAAAAGTGAATTTGAGGGTATGTTTGTTCCCCTTGTTAAGTTTCCAAGTCTTTGTTATTAGTTCTATAATTTATTTGTTTTACAAGATACTATTCACTGTAGTTATATTGAGACCATTGTGGAATACATTTGTCTCCTCTTTGAGAGTTTATGAGCAAGCATCTATTGAAGGAGCAGAAGATTCATTTGAGGGAAGATATGATTCTGATGGTGCAGAGAAAAGCCTTGATTCATTTGTTATCCAGGTGATGATACTAGCAGTTTGTTATGTTTATTACGTTAATTATTTGATAATGCAAATGATATTCGACTGTTTGCAATATTTTCATGTCAAAGTTAACTGACTGATTTTAGCTATCACAAGTGATTTCTTCAATCTTCTTTACAATGGCTGTTTATTTCCTTGTTACATTATTAAGTTGATTGCCTGCCCATGCAAATATGTCAGCTCAGTGATATGTAACTGAATATGGTTCTTTATCTCGATCTCTATTCATTGAAACCCCCATCCTTGTGAATTTATCTGTACTATCCTCTATCTTTCCATATGCTTCTTATGGGTGACAAAATGAAGAAACTCTATAATATCACCCAATAAAAGATACCCACTAATCAAACAACTTGAAATTTGGATATGCGTATACAGTGTTATTTTATGGGGAATGGTTTATGTAAAGCTTTATTTTATTTTGTGAAGAAAATTGAGTGCAGGTTCTCTTTCATATGACTTCCATTTACTTCCACTCATTTAGTATGGAGTCTAGTGGGTTTTCCAGAGAGAAAGATCACTATGAAATGTGAAACTGAATCAGTTGCTAGAATGGTGTCCTTTAGCTTGTTACTTGGCAAGGATGACACCCCTGATTGCCAAAATCAGCCAAACCAGAATCCGCAGGGGGTACTGAAATCGTTGCAATTACAATGAACTTCTTTTCATTATTAAAGTTGTGCCTTCGCCAGCTTTTTAGTTAAAAAGGAGCCTCTGTGTTTGATCTATATCTTTTGTTTGTGTTTTATAGTTGCTTTGATGTATATGGAAAAGATCAAATGTTATAGTCTCTAGATTTTTAAATAATCAACTGGCTGAGCTCTATCTAAATTTGTGTCAATCAGGTCCACTTAGTTTTATGCCTGTGTTTGCTTGATTTCATATAATAACTTTTGAACTATCTTTTTGTATCTCATATTTTTTATTTTCAGCTGTTTGAACTTCTGCTGACCATTGTGGGTAATTCAAGACTGGGAAAGGTTTGGTTCAGAACATTTTGAAATCTTCTTTTTGTGCTAATTGTGTTCTATTGCACGAGTACTTTGATCTGTGATTTGCACTTTTATAGGTGGTTGTGGCTAATGTCAAAGAGTTGGTGTACTACACTATTGCTTTTCTTCAAATGACAGAACAGCAGGTTTAACATTTTTTAGTCATCCCATTGCTCCTAGTTTATTCTTGTCATAAATTTGCTTCCGCAGTATCTGATTAGCTTTCTGCAGATTCATTTCATAAATTTTCTACTATTTAAAATGTGCTTGTAATTTTTTTTTTAAAAAGCTTGTTGCTTACTTGAGTGCAGATTGATATCTGTTAGAGAAGTTTAATATATAACCATTAAAGTGGCCTTCACTTAATACCTTGAGCTTTTAGGTGAGATGGTTGTTTAATATGGTATAAGAGACTGTCAGTCACCAAAGTGTCATGAGTCGATCCTCACCACTCCTCATTCTTCTAATAAATATTTAATTATAGAATTTCTTAGCACAAGTTGGTGGGCCTGTGCATTATCTACCCTTCAAATCCAACTAGATCGTGTGATGGGTTGTTATAGAGAAGTCTAATATAAAACCATTAAAGTAGCTTGAGCTTTTAGGTGAGATTGTTGTTTAATAATATCTTTCTCAATACCGAGTGAATTTTTATTTACTTTTGTTTTTTCATTTTAGAATGGATGCCAATGCAATAACTAAGTCCTTTTACCCCTGCATATAGCAGTTTACTGCTTATGTTTTGTGCATTTTCATGTTTGTATGAGATAGAATGGAGCAAATGATGTATTAGAGTCTTTTAGTTGATTCCATCCTGCATAGGTATTGATGCACCAAAGGATTTCAGATTTTCATACTGATCATATTTCCCCTTGTAAATGCTATTCCATTTTGACCCACTTGAATTCATTTTGCTGATGTCATGGAGTGATTCGTTAATCTCCTTTAGCTTAAATAAATAAATAAATAATTGGTTATTGTTAAATTATTGGGTTTAGTATAAAGTGGTGTTATAGGTATTGATATATTTGTTGATTGTCATTGAATGTTAGTAGTAGTAGTTATCATTTAATTGGTAATGTAAAGAGTTATTTTCATTTAATTCTGTAACCGTTAAGATATATTAATGATAATTAAAATAATTATGATGATCATTGATATTACCTGCAGTTTTAATGATAATTAAAGTAATTATGATGACTATTGATATTACCTGTAATCAATGCCTCGGTTACAAAACTTCAGCTATAAATAGGACTTTAACCTAACCAAACCAAATCATTTCTATATTCTCTCCAATTCCCTAAATATCTCCTTTTCGCTTTTCCTTTTTTCCTCTTCTCATTTTTTCTTCCTATTTTCAACCTTTTTCAAAATTCTATTGTAATTATTTCCCTTTAGCTAACAACTACACTTCCCCTACGAATTGCCTTTCTCCAAAGGAAGCCTTCAAACACGGAGTTCAGGTAATCCCGATCCTTAGGGCATCTTAGGTTAGTTTTAGATGAAATTTGGTATATAATCCTAATCCTTAGAGAGCCATAGGTTAGCTCCTAATCCCTAGAATGCCATGGGTTAGTTTTATTTGAAAATTTGCTATATGTAATCCGAATCCTTAGGGAATCCTAGGATAATTTTATTGGAAATTTGTTATATGAAATTCCGATCCTTAGGGTATCATAAGATAGTTTTATATTAAATTTGTTATATGTAATCTTGATCTTTCCAGGAAACAGCCTCTTTGCAATTATGGAAGGCTAAGGCTGCGTACAAGGATTTCCTCCACCCCACACTCGCTAGTCGGGTCTAACGGGGAGTGGTTTTTTTTTTTAATCTTGATCCTTAAGGTATTATAGTTTAGTTTTATATGGAAATTGTTATATATAATCCTAACCCCTTAGTTAATTGTAGGGTAATTATATATGAATATTGTTGGGAATTTTATTGGGTTTATATTTTAACCTCTAAGAAATCATAGATTAATTATATATATTGTTGGGAATTTGGTTAGGTTTAATCTTAACCTCCAGGGAATCACAAGATTCATTATATAATTATTTTTGGGTAAATCCTAATTCCTTAGTAATAATAGGTGGAGATGATGGATAATTGACTATATGTGTATGAATTTTTACCGTTGATGATATGTTGATAGGTGTGGTATGAATTTTACCTTTGATAAGATGTTGGATAATTGATTATGTGTGATTTGGATCTTACCTTTGATAAATGTTGGAAAATTGATGTGGAAATTATGATACTCTTTGAGGAAATTTTCCAAAGTACGTGGTTTGTGACAAGATTGAATTTCCCTAATTGTGTGTGATTGTGATAAGATAATGGTGGGAAGATAGCTTTTGGGATGGTACTTCCTGAAAATGATGAACACAACCTTTGGGATTTATGTCTTCGATGTTATATGATGTGAAAATGATGTTATCCGTTCTTCCTAAAGTGGTACCTGGTAACAGGGTCTCCCGGGGTAGTAGTAGCAACTTTGAGGAGCGGTGTGCACACTAGGATTTGATGTTTTGATGATGGCCAAATTTGATTATACGTGGCTGGCAATAGGGTCTCCCGGGTCATGGGGGTAGGCTGGCAACAGGGACTCCCGGGTCTACCTTGGTTCTCTTCCCACTAAATAAACTAAATGAAACTAAATAAGATTAATAATGGAAATGGCGTACTTGGATTGATGCTTGAATTGATTATGATTATTGATTGAGTTATGATTATCTGATGATTGAAGTGATTATGATGCTTGAATGAGTTATGCTTATTCTTAATGAAATGTCTTGATTGATGCTTGGCTTGATTATGATTATTGATTGAGTTATGACCATCCTTGCGTTTTGGATTGGGATTACCAGCTTTGTGCTGACTGTTTGTGTTTGTAATTGTGTGCTGCGATGATCCTTCGGGGAGCAGAGACCTCAATGAAGCAAGTTTCGAAGACTGGGGCTAGCAGTAGGCGGTGAGGATAATATCTTGGACATTTCAAGCTAGGTGCGAACATGCTTATGATTTAATAATTGTATAAGATATATTTAAGTTAATCTTAGATTTTGGATTTACATTTTAAAGTTTTAAATATTTACATTGAATATATTTTCGTATAAGAGTATGATAAAGTTAGCCTTGCACTTGTCCCTTTTACAAGTGCGGCGGTAACATTTCCCCGGTTTTAGATTAGCTTCTACAATATTTATGAGATCCAAAAAAATAATTAAATGAGAATTTTGGCAAATTCTGCTATTATAAGAATATTTTAAAATTGTTAGAAATTTTGGAGTGTTAGAGTTTTGTGCATTTTCATGTTTGTGTGATATAGAATGGAAGCAAGTGATGTTTTAGAGTCTTTTAGTTGATTCCATGCTGCATAGGTATTGATGCACCAAAGGATTTCGGATTTTCGTACTGATCCTATTTCCCCTTGTAAATGCTATTTCCATTTTGACCCACTTGAATTCATTTTGCTGATGTCATGGAGTGATTCGTTAATCTCCTTTAGCTTAAACTATTAGATGGAGGTCAATGGATGATTTTTTTTCTTATTGAAGTAGTATGATAGCATGAAGTTCAAAATTTGGAGATATTTCTGACCTAATTATTAAAATCTATTTTGTACCCCTACTTTATTTTTTTCAGAAATTTTAAAGGATTTGCAATGTTAGACAATGGTTGAGTATTTGGGCTTTGCTGTTGTTGTATTGTTCATGTTAATTATTTATTTTTATTTTGTCCAATAAATATTTTGTTTTGTTGAAATTTTTAAAGTGTTAGAGATATAAAATCATTAAAGAGGCTTTCACTTAATAGCTTAACCTTTTGGGTTGAATTGGTTCATTATATGATATCAGAACTTCGGTTTCATAGGTTCGATCTTCATTGTCCCCCATTTTAATTAATAACTATTTAAGTCTTGTGGAGTTTCTTAGTACAGGTAGGCTGGGCCTGATGCATCATCCACCCTTCAAGCCCAATGAGCTTTCGTATAAGGGGGCGTATTAGAGATATAAAACCATTAAAGAGACCTTCACTTAATAGCTTAAGCTTTTGGGTTGAATTGGTTTTTACATAAAGATTTTGCAATGTTGGAAAATGGTTGAGGTGTTGGGCTTTGCATTAGGATGACAAATACTAATTATTTATTTATATTTGACCCAAAATTACTAGAGTATATAAAAATATCACATGATTGATTTGCATTAGCTTGCATAAGTACCTTCAATCCAAAATACGAAAAAAAGGGTGGCCCGGTGCATGAGGTTTCCATCACTGTGGACTCTTGGAATTATTAGATGTACACATCCACACTCCAATGAGCAGAGAAACTGTTTCCACGGTGAAAGCAGCAACCATATCATTACACTAAGTATTTTATTTTCTACGTAAATTATAACAAAGTTATAAATTGTTATCAAATGATATTATATGAATGAAAAAAATAACCACATGCTAGATCAATCGGTTTTCACTATGATTTGGTGTTGGACTGTTGGGCATATATTTGGTTCTATTCTGTGATACTGAAAATTATGGTAATATATAGTAGTACCATTTTGATGTTCCTGTCACTTTGCAGCAATTGCATCCTTGTCTACTTTTATTGCTGATACCTGGGAATTGTCCAATCACTTTTTAGGTTCATACGTGGTCTGTTGATGCTAACCAGTTCATTGCTGATGAAGAGGATGCCACTTATAGCTGTCGTATCTCTGGTAAGTCCACTTAAGTTTTTTTTTTTTTTTTTTTAGTTTAAATTTCTGACGGTAGTAGTTTATTTCAAATTGACTGATTGGTTCCCTTGCGCTGAGTTAGTTTTATTCATTATTATTAATTTAGTGATTGCTATGATAATAATTTTACCTTATATTGTATTGTATAAAATAGAAATGCTAGCCGCACTCTTTTTTAACCCTTTCTCTATTATTGGGTGAAATCCTATATTGGCGGCTCTAATAGAATGGACCTAGGTTATTTAGTGGAGTCAGCATCAAATTTCACCTAATTATAGAGAAAGTGTTGAAAAGAGTGTGTTACTAGTGTTCCTCTTATATATTTCCTCAAATTTTGATGAGTTTCATCATTTAAGAGTGATAAGCAGCTTATTTGTCACCGTCCTTTTATGTAAGGGTGACAAATGGTTCATTACGGATAGATACATTACAAACGTGTAATCCATTTATTAGCTATCAACAATTTATTTTAACTATCTGAACTTTTAAGGGTATCTACTGCATATCCAATATATAGCTTTGTTGGTTCATTAACCCTCCATTAACTAAAACTAGCCTAATCCATCCAATCCATTATATTTATTATTATAATTGTATAGATTGTATTGGATTTATATATGGATGGACTGAATGGATAATGGAAAAGTGGATCCAGTTGCCACCCCTACTTAGTGATTTTATATTCTTCATTTCTGTTATTCTGTTAATTCATATGAATTTTATGTGTTTTAGAAAGTTTCACGAGCTTTATAAGAAAATTGCATCTTGTAGGCGTGCTTTTACTGGAAGAGGTAGTAAATTCTTTTGATGGTGAAGGATTTTTGGCCATCATGGATGCTGCAAAACAATGGTTCACCGAATCTCAAAGAAGAAAAGTGGCTGGCAATGCAAGCTGGTGGAGGGTAAATACAGATTTTCTGTTTTCCTTTGATCTAGAAACTATTTAGTATGTCTGATAGAATATAAAAGTCATTCCTTGTTAAACCCTGACTAGCAAGGGTAGGGGTGAGGGGGAAATTTTTATATGCAATCTTACCCATGCATATTTACAATAATTTATGAAATTTGATTGGCTTGCTGATACAGGCTATTTTAAAATACTTTTGTTCTCAATCCTTATCTTTTTTATTCTTTTCCTATTTAGGTTTGTAACTCGTTAGCCACATTACTGAGTGTTAGAGAAATATAATATAAAACCATTAATGTGACCTTCACTGACAACTTAAACTTTTGGGCTGAAATGGTATCAGAGCCTTTGTGACCAAGGGGTCACGAGTTTGATTCTTACTGCTCAAATTCTATTAATAAATAATTAAATATTATGGAATTTCTTAGCATATGTAGCTTGTACATTGTCCACCCTTCAAGCCCAATGGATTCTTGTGTGAGAGTGTGTTAAAGAAATATAACATAAAACTATTAATGTGACCTTCACCTAACAGGCTAACATATTAAGTTTTTGAGTTGAAATGGTTTATTACACTGAGAAAGAAACAATGGAGTCTAGCTCCCTATAATAGGTTCTCAAATTTTTGGATGACTCTGCTAGGATCCCCCCCAACATTTATCCTTGCTCTTGATGTTATCCCCCTTCCTTCCCACTCCTCTTGCCACGCATGCTGAGTTGTTATGGCCCCATTTCCTCTTCTGCCCATTGTTCCCTCTTCCCCTACTCTTCTTTGCTTATGCATCAATCATTTCATGAGATTTTTCGTAAAAAATGCTTATTTTTTTATTTCAAATTTCTAAAGTGTAAACTGTATTATGCATGTTAATGTTTGGCAGATAAGAGAAGCTACTCTTTTTGCCTTATCATCCCTTTCAGAACAACTGTTGGAGACAGAGGTTTGGGATTTTGACTTTCAATTTGGGATTCTGATGAGCAGAATTTGGCTTATCATTTCATTTCCATTTTCAATTTTTTGTGCTTTAGTTTTGCACTAGGATACACTTCGATATATGTTATGTTATTCATACAGGAGTCAGGGTTCGAGACAAGTAGCTTGAAGCAATTGGTTGAGCAGATCGTCACTGAGGACTCTCTAACAGGTCACTTCTTAAATCTGCCCTCAACTTCCTTATGCTTCCATTCTTCTTCAGTATCTTATATTTCACCTTTTCTCACAGGTCCTCTTGAAAACCCTTTTCTATATGCTCGCATTTTTACTTCAGTTGCTAAATTCTCCTCTTTGGTAACTGAATTCTGTCCTATTTTTTAAGATAGCTTCTTTGTCTCTCTCTCTCTCTCTCTCTCTCTGACTTCTGATTGATCTTGTGATTTTACAGATAAGCAGTGGTGTACTAGAGCACTTTCTCTATGCGGCAATGAAAGCAATTACAATGGATGTGTAAGCACACTTATGTCATTGTATTTTTCATGTAATATACTTTCTTCTAATTTCGCATTTTACAGGCCTCCACCCCTAAAAGTAGGTGCCTGCAGAGCACTTGCACAGCTCCTCCCCGAAGCAAAGAATGAAATTGTTCAACCGCAACTGTTGGGTTTATTTTCATCCCTAACAGATCTTCTTAATCAAGTACCATACCATATAAATCCTTTTGCCATTTATCTTCTACTATTGTTGTATGTGGTAGTTATCTTAATATGGTTTCCAGGCATCAGATGAAACCTTGCACATGGTGCTTGAAACATTGCATGCTGCAGTAAGGGCAGGTTAGTTTATATATCTGCCCAGATTTTTAAATTATAGATATATATTGAATATTTCTGGTTTCTCACTTTCTCTCACTCTCTTCTCTTACTACCATGCATGCAAGCATGATTGGATGTATGTATTTCAGCTAGCTATTTGTTTGTATTTATGCACTCATTTTTTCTTATTATAGGTCATGAATCATCGGCATTGGTAGAAAGCATTATTTCTCCCGCGGTCCTTAATGTATGGGCATCACATGTTTTGGATCCTTTTATCAGTATTGATGCACTTGAAGTTCTTGAGGTAATGAGTTTGATTTTTTTTCTTTTTTGTGTGTGTGAGTATTATTATTTGCTGAGTTCCTTTTTTGTTTATGTTAGCATATTACATTAGTTATGACCGAGATTGTCAAACTCATAGATCCTACCTATTATTGGACAAGGGACTTAGGAACTAAGAGCAGAAGGTCGTAACAAGAAACATAAGATCCTACCTGTTCTGTAAAATTATATTCTAGAAATATAATGTAGGTATAAATAACACAAATAACGCATAATAAAAATAAAGTCACAATCACAACTAACATTTAAAAATATTCTATTTCAAAATACATGATAGACATGAGTTTGTAAGTTTATGTATATGCCTTATATTATACCTAAACAAAGGCCTCTAACCTGCCAAAGACAAGCCCAATCTTACATCAAAACAAAGGCATATAAATTCTAACCTAAGACAAGCCCAACACCAACGGGAGATGACAGGGGACAAAAATAGAGGGATACAGCTCACAAGCAACAGCCACAACCAGGAAACCCAACACTCAGTCTAAGTAGTACAAACCAGGCAACACAACAGAAAACTAGTGTCAACCCACCAGTGGCAAGATAAAACAATATATAACATTTGGCTAAGTGCTTAAGTAGAATATCAAGACATGGCATTAGGCGTCAGCTATGTGTGAACTCATTTGGCTCAAACAATTACTTCAAGAGCCCACAATGGTTGGAGTTTCATTGATTGGGCCACCCTTTTACTATTTATGTGTTAGAATTTAGTACATTTGTAAGTACTTACATACGAATAGATATGTAATATTTAGAATCTTAGATATTTCTTTGTATTTCTGAATGATTGTATGTGAATATGCATATGCATCTATGCTCATAGGTATACATGTATGTAGTATGTTTATGTGTGTGCTTTTCTTTGCGACAGATATATTTCCTGCCTATTATATTCCCTAGAAAATTCTTGGGTTTCATTTCTATATATTACCGTGCATCACTGCAATACAATTATTGCAATATCTGTAGTAGTGTTCAAGTTGCTGATGGTTGGAGATGTGCAAAGCTACTGCCGGGACAGATTTTTATTAGGATATTTTTTGGCTAGGAATTACTGTTTACATTATTTCTTGGTACGCTATGTTTTGAATTTTCCTTGTCTTCTGGTAAATGACATATTTATTGACACTTTTATTGTCATTATATGTTTTACATTCTTGAAACACTAGTTAGTAGTTCCCCCTTAAACCGCTCTTCAGCTGCAATGTTTTGCTTTCTCTATGATGTCCATTTGATCTCAATTTATCACTCATTATGCTTCATACGTGGTCTAGTTTCTAGGTTCATACTGATATACTTTTCCAGCAATTTTTTCAATGATTAAGATAATTTCTTTTGTCATCTAATGAAATTTATTTTTCCAGGCAATCAAAAGCATTCCTGAATGTACACGTCCATTGGTTTCCAGAATTATGCCGTATATTGGACCAATTTTAAATAAAGTATGACAATTTAAAGTTATTCCAATGTAAGTGGTTAAGGATTTTAGAATAACACCCATTGTTATTTATGCACCCCTTTAAATGTTCTTATAGCCCCGAGAGCAGGCTGATGGTTTGGTAGCTGGGTCATTAGATCTGGTGACAATGTTACTGAAGGCAAGTGTCCTTGCATGAAAGCATGATTTCTTTTAATTTTGTTAAGTTCATTATCAGCTTTGACCTTTGAGCACCGTATTTATCCTGTGATTTTCTGATATCAATTTGTCAAAGCTTTGTACAGAATGCCCCTGGTGATGTAGTGAAAGTAATATATGATGTCTCTTTCAATGCTGTTATCAGAATAATCCTTCAAAGTGATGATCACAGTGAAATTCAGGTCATTGTATTTTGCTACATAAACATATATTCTATTTCATTAGTCATATTTGCAATGATTTCTGATTACAAAATTGAATTAAATGTTTGCATTGACTTGACCTGAGCAGAATGCTACGGAATGTTTATCTGCTTTTATATCTGGGGCAAGACAAGAAGTTCTTGTTTGGGGATCTGATTCTGGATCAGCTATGAGAAGTTTACTTGATATAACTTCAAGGTAGTTGTCCCTTTTTTTTACATTTCTCTCCCTTCCCCCATTGGGATGTGGACTTGTCCTCAAGTCAAATAATATCCAATGCTTGTTCATCTTCCCGACTAGAGTCCTTGGTGCAAGGTCCTGCCACTGAATCAACCCTTGTGAACTCGTTAAGTCCCTCCATAATTAATTGTGGAGTTCAAGCCAAACATACACAGTAATTGATGAAAAATATATTGTTATTTATTGAATTTGGTGCTTTTCATGTTGACCTTCCTGTAGGACATGAAAAAGGAGAAAAACAGTATATGAAATTTGTGACTTCTAACAGTTGCTGCCGTTTCTATTCATTCTGGAAAAATCAATCTGTTGCCCAAGTTTATACAGCTGTATATCTGAGCACAACACACACATGTAACTAGACATATATTTATCTAACACTTCCAATTTATGTTATTGTTACCTATTCTTCGTTGTTGGAATTGTTTTGTTCACTTTTTTTTTTGGCTGGAAGATTAAACTACTGCCGTAATAAAAAGTAATTAATTGCATATACCCATAAAAAGTAATTAATTTTTGATTGGTTTAAGTGATCAAAATGGAAGAAGGCTTACTTTTCTTCTGGTTTTCACCTGAGCTCTCCACTATAGTATAGATACAATTAGGATAAGTTTATTATTTTATTTGTTTTTCTGTTTCCTGCTTGAGTGCGTCTGTGTTATCTTTTTAAGTTTCTGCCTTGTTGCTTGATTTCTTGTAAATTTGGAACAGACTATTAGATCCCAATCTGGAAAGCTCTGGGTCTTTTTTTGTTGGGAGTTACATTCTTCAACTTATATTGCATTTACCATCACAAATGGCTGTACACATACGAGACCTGGTTGCTGCTCTTGTCAGACGAATGCAATCTGCTCAAATTGCTGCCTTGAGGAGCTCATTGCTAGTTGTTTTTGCCAGATTGGTAATACAGCCAATTTTTCAGATTGATTTTGAATGATTCTACTGTCAATTTTTAGTGGTAATGGCTAATGACAAAATCTATTTTTATTAATAGTCTACAGAACTCGAAAGCCAGCAGTTTTGGAAATTATCATTTATAAAACTTGTGTGCTATTAGGCAGCGCTTCTAGAAATGGTCATTTTATAGAACTTGTACAATTGTTTTTCTTCTTCCCGTTCCTCCCCATTTCTGGGTTTCTCTTCTTGCATCAATGCTTGCTTTTTGTGGTATCCTTTTGATTACTTAATTTATTGTGCTTGTCATGTTATCCTTAGCATCTTTTGTATTACATTATTTGTTTGGCAGAAACCTGCCATTTTCCCTTTGTCTGTATAGGGATAATTTTTTCAAATATTGTTCAAAATGCAGGTACATATGAGTGCTCCAAATGTTGAGCAATTTATTGATTTGCTGATCTCAATTCCTGCTGATGGACATGCTAATTCCTTTGCTTATGTAATGTCAGAATGGACTAAGCAGCAAGGTCAGCATCCTTCTCCTATTATGTTTGCTAAGGTATCTGAGTATGTGATTTTTTTGGTATTTGCTGTTTTGCAAATTATGAACTTGTTACTGCATAGTTTGTCAACAGCACTGAATTCTGTTTCTGTAATTTTATTTTTGCAAATAGCTATGGAGTTTCCTCATGCATGAATGACAGAAACAGTCATCAGTATTGGCTTAATTTTTAATGACCAAACCCTATAGTGTCTTTGACTGACATTATATTTTCTAATTAGATCAAGGAAGCACGGATACTTCAAACTAGTAGTTGTACTTGTACCCCTGTTGGACATGTATCAATGTCCGACACTTCACGGCACTTACTCAAAGCTGCATTTTACTAATTTTTTACTTTTAACTTTTTAGCTTTTATATCAATGTAGATGGGAATAATAATGATTTACCTCATCATATCCAAGCATAATTATTGTTGTTTAATCATAAGATTAACAGCTTGGATGCCAGTCAGCTTTGTAATAAATGGTTGAACTTTTGATAAGTCTGTTTCGTGTAGCTGTGCAATTATTCTGTCTTGTGATGTTTGTTGAGTGTGCTGCTCTGAGAAGGCGTTTCGTTTCCTCTCGTTGCTTTTTGTCACCTTTCTTATCAAGCTTCCTCTTGCTAATTTTGCTGTGCAGCCTTCATAAAATGTTGACACAAATAACTGTGTAACATCTGATCAGATATGCCATTGTCTTGTATGTTTATGTGGAGAGCTTCTCTGCATCAAAAGATACACACACATATTTATCCTTATTAATGTGAAATTTTAGTTTTGTTGTTAAATATGAGAATGATCAACTAGGAGTGCTTAGACACACATAAATCAATCAAAATTTCTTCCCCATGATATCTGGTTGCAGGTGAGATACAGGGGGCCTATCAAATAAAAGTTACTACAAGTGCCCTGGCCTTGTTGCTAACAAGTAAGCACAATGAACTTGCAAAAACACATGTCCAAGGCCATCTTATGAAGGTATAACTGTAATTTTATTTACTTATTTATTCATTTTTTTTTTAAGAGTTCTTGCTGATTTGTTGAACTTATTTGTGTTACAAAGTCTGGTGTGGGAATAACCACAAGGTCAAAGGCAAAGTCAGCTCCAGAGCAGTGGGTAATGTTGCCACTTCCTACGAAGGTAATTCCTTTTAATTATTGTGATGCCTTAACTAGTAGAAGATATACTTTCATCTATGGAGGGTAGTTGATTGGACATGTTATGTTGATGTAAGATGGCAGTGCCCTTGGGCATGTCTCGATAGAACAGTAACTATGAAAAGGAAGAGGAAAACTGGATACAGAGAATAAGGACTTCTGTAGAAGTGTTCTCCCCGCTGGCCAACGCTCGCCCCTCAGATGGAGAAAAACTCTCCAGGTAGTAAGAAAGCAAGAGACAACCTGTCATAAGCCTCGTGATATAACTATGTTTACATTTTCCCTTTTCTCAATACCTACATTCCTGTTCCAAATAACTCTTGTACCCCTTGCATACACTCACTTGTGGGCCCTTTATCCTTGGATAAGCTGACTTGCTCCTCTATGTCGGCCATAAGTTCAAGGGCTCTAACAATTTGTGTAATTATCGTTTCGTTCTCTGACCACAGTGCATTATTGGGCTTCATTAGTGCAGGTGGAGAAGCTTTTTAAATCAGAAAATGAGTTTTTCTTTTAGAATCCAAAGTACAGTTTTGACAAAATTTGTAGGCTGAATTTCAACTATGCTACATTGGTACTGTCATGATTGAAATTCTATTCATCTTCAATAGTAGACAATTGGTAGAAGTTGATTTTTTTGATATTGTAAATAAATGTAGTAATTTTTTTTTTTTTCTGAATATCTTGCAGATAGTGGCTTTATTGGCAGATGCGTTAACTGAAATACAAGAACAAGTTTTGGCCGGCGATGATGAGGTAGTGTAATGCATCTTGATGCGTATTAATTGCACACTGTTTATCAAAAGTTCCTACTTAATATAAACTGTTCATTCAGGATAGTGACTGGGAAGAAGTTCAGGCAGATGGCATTGAAAATGATAAAGAGTTTCTGTATTCAGTGTCTACATCTGCTTCAGGAAAACCCACGTATGAACATCTTGAAGCAATGGCAAAATTATTTAATGAGGTTTGGTTGAGTTACAGTTGCCACATATCTTAATTTCTTTTTTGTGCAATTATATGTTGTTAGATTTTTGAGCTGATTTTTTATTTTTTTTATTGCTCAACTTGCTTCGAAATTGCAAGGATCAACATGATCAGTATGAAGATGACCTTTTAAGTGTTGCCGATCCTCTTAATCAGGTCTGTGCTCCGGATTTTGTATGTTTCATTTGTTCAATGTGATGCACTAACCTGCATATGTATTTGTTAACAATTTTAATTGCAACTGACAGATAAATCTGGCAAATTACCTCTTGGATTTCTTTGTTAACTTTTCTCAGTCTGACAGACAGCTCTTAGATCACATTTGCGAGGTTGTTAAGCATTATAAATTATTTAGTGAGTTCAACTTTTAAGACGTACAGGTGAATGATACTGAACATGTGCAATATATTGTCTTGCACTGCAGAGCTTGACTCAGTCTCAACGAAATGCTATTCAAATGGTACTGCAGAGATGAGAATTTAGTGTGCTTAAAGATGGATTGATACTTGCAGAGGGAGGAGATGGTTGGAAAGGAATATTTTGCCTTTGTCTAGGATGGGGAATCTATTTGGATTTCTGAAACATGTTTTGCTGCTGTGTGTTCCCCCTTGTTTGTTTAATCATTCTTTTTACTCAAATGTGTTTTTATGTGACCGTTATCAGTTTTGCTTTTACTTGGTTTTGCTCATTGCTAATTCACCAAATTTCTTTGTATACAAATTGTAACATTTATTAAAGAGAAAGAAGAAACATCAGTTGGTAGCATACTGGTGTAGAAGAATGTCAACTAGCAGCATAATGGGAGAGCTAGTTCTATCATGATGTGGATGTTCTTGGCTCGAACAGAATTACCTCTTCCGGAGAATACTTGTAATTATCCACACACACAAAAAATTGTCAACTAGCTTGGTTTCTAGTCTCGGGTTTATTCTCTACATGTTTTAGAATCTTGACTAGCTTTCCTTGTTACTCGACTGTAAATCTTAACTATAAAACTCTTCCGATTAAGATATTATTTAAGAGAAATATTATATTTATAACCTATTTTCGTTTACAACCTCTTATAACCATATCTTAATTGTTGACTTTTGTCAATCAACGGTTATTATTTTGCCAATTAAACTTATTAATTAATTATTAATTCGCAGTAAATGATAATCGTTTATTGTATAAATTAACGGTTAAGATATGGTTGTAAAAGATTATAAACGAAAATAAGTTGTAAGTATAATTTTTTTCTTATTTAAAGCATTACTTTAATTAACTTTTAAATGTTAATAGATAAATAAAAAATCCCTCCTACATTAAAAAGCAAAACAACATAAAAATATAAACAAGGCCAGGTCTTTTCCCTCTATATAGCTCTGAGTCAATTGAAGAATAGAGGGAGACGAGCATTACCAGCTGAACCTATGAGCTGAACTTGTTTCCTATTCTAATAGCACAACTCCATCAAATTTTCTGGATTCAGATAAACGATACACATTCTGCACTCATCACAAAACCCTGCCCTTGCACTTCCATTCCATTCCATCTTGAAAAATTAGTTGGCTAAAGTCTCAAATAACATTTAGCAACAATATAAAATTGGTTTGCTTGCACTTCCATTCCATCTTATAGTTTGTATCTGTGATACTACTAGTTGGCTAACAAGGTACTATTATTTGGCTAATTTTTACATGAACGTGATATTACTATAAAATTTATGTGCCAAAATCTGAAATAAAAATTGTTTTAAGATCTCTTTGTATTAGTAATTGAGATTATTTTTTCTTACTTTGTTATTGTCTAATTTTTCTTATCCAATAGGTGATAGATATTTGAAATTGAGCTTACCTGTTTCAACTTTTTGTTGTATTATATTAAAAATTAGATTATCATTTACTGATACTTCTAGATTGCACAATAATTATTATACAAACTTTACAAAGTCAATACATACAAAAGATATGTTATTTGCACAATAATTATAATACAAATGTTAAGCTTTACAAAAAATCAAAAATCGATCCAATCCAAACCGAATAAAAATGGATTGGATCGGATCGGATTTGAAAAAATTCAAGTCGAATGGATGATTACAATTACATAATCAAATCGAAGAAATTGGATCGGATGATTTTTGCTTCCAAAATCAATCCAATCCAGATCGTGAACACCCTTAACTTTTCGTTTAATACTTGATATTCTTAATTTCTTAAACGGTGTCCCAAACTGGTTAGCAAGATTAATAATATTAAAAGTAATTATGAAGTTGTACCCATGTAATAAAGAATAATAAATATTTTATTTAGCAAATTATAGTCTTAACTTACAGTGAATTATTATCAAGAATTACATAACTTGATTCTCTTTTACGAGGGAATACCACTTTCGTTCTATTGAGCATATTTTCAATTCTCTCCGTGCTCCTTTACTTGAAATAGAAAAGTGGGATATACGTGGCATTAATCATAAAAGAAAGAATGTTAGGTGAGTTATACTTTTCAATCTTAAGTAAGTGATGTACTCAATTTTCAATACTAAGAAAGCACTAAAAATATTTTCTCATTCTAGACATGCTTAATATTAAAGAGTAAGAGCAGCCATTACTTTCCATAATTCCATTGTTGAATAATTAAAGCGGCTTAATTTCCTGGTAGAATAGCGTTTCCTAAACCAGCCATTGCTTTACATAATTTAAGCAGATAGACAATTTTTATTTGAACAGCAAAGAAGTGAATTAAACAGAATGATAATAGTTTACGGGGCAATGCATTTCTCATGTTATTGGAGAGGAGAAAAGTTTTCTACACACTCAAATTTATAATGGAGCCCACACATAAAAAAGAAAGAAAATAAAAAAAATATTTGCACGCAAAACGAATTCTCACTAACATGAAAAAAGGTTCTCCTACAACATAAGAACTCTTTTTCCCATAGTTTATTGGATACAAAACCATTCAAGCCATTAATGGGAAATTACTTTTGTCGGAGATTACTTTTTCATATTATGAGATATTGAAATCCGTGCTATTCTCTTTTTATTTTCTTATTTTTTTTAACAAGTGGTGGATTCTACCACTTATTATATATATCTAGGGCTTTGTTTTTCTCCTTTCACGTGAGAATTTTTTTTTCCCTACACACACATGTTTAAGGTAGGTCCCACCATTAAGAAATTAAAATAAAAAATAAAATAAAACACACATATCAATGTACGAGTAACATGAAAAATACTTTCTCCAACAAAATGAGCCAACAACATAAGAAAGTATTTCCCCATGTATCACACATGAGATATGTTACTTTATGTGACTTGAGAAAAGAGAAGCGGCCATTACTCAGCGTAGCCACCATCTTTCACGGTCATCAGTGCGTATAGAACAAAACTTGAATAATAAAGTTTGAGCTTCATGCTCACTGATGATAGCCCTTCTTGGACACACTGATTCTTTGCATTGAGGGCAAATGATATTCTTCAAACCAACCCATATATCGAAGCAATATCTGTGAAAGACATGGTCACATCTCAGCACTTTAATCTCCTCTCCTCCTTCAATTTTGCAGAGACACACACCACAATCTATATGTTTCTCTGAGCCAGGAGTGGATTCATGATGGAATATACTATGCTCCTCTACAAATATTGGTGGCTGAGAATCATGAAGCTTGTAAAAGGGATAGTAGAGAAGGAAATCTAGTACCCATTTCAGATGAGCATAAACTAGAGTTAGGTACTTCATGAACATTTATATATGCTGAAGGTTTGGATATATATTATGAAAAGGTTAAATCTGAACACAAGGCTTATGCTCTTGTTTTGCTTTGAGGAAAAGTTGGAACTACTTCGTTATATTTATAGACCTTTCTAAAAGGAATAATTAAAATAAATATAATTAAATAGGTTGTTTTCTTCAATTTTAATAAGTTATTCCACTGAGTTTTTTATATTATAAAAAGAGATAGAAATAGCCGGCCATATTCCAAGATGAAGAGAATATTGCCACAAATAAAAGAAAGATAGCTGGTATTAGGAATTGTGCCTAAGTTTTACGGACAAATTGTTTTCATTCTTACCAATTAATTAAACAAATTCATGGTTGAAGATTAATATAATTCTTAAATTTGAATTAATCCAACTCAACCTTGAAATTGACTAAGCTTACACATGTACTCGTTATTTACACATACCTTACGTAATTTTAGAATATACTATTAGAAGTTTGATCACTCAACATGTTATTACTTATTAGGTTGGCTAAATTCATGCTTTTATTTAATCAGTTTTATCTCAAACAATTTTTTTAAATATTACTTGACATTTTACAAAAAAGAAAATATATTATGAAAATCTTTCTTTTAAATATGTAATAATTTAGAATATTAAAATGCAAGTAACTTAACAAGTACATCGAACTTTATAAATTTTTTAATGAAAATTACCATAATATTATTTTAAGTTGATTTTGTTATTTTGGGCAATCAACCATAATTTTATTTCAATTAAAGGATAAAAACGTTATTCATTTGACTCACATCATCCCCCGAAGGGGACTCAATCATGAAATAAGTCCAAGAATTTGGTTGTTGAGCTTGAATTCGGGCCATACACAATATCATAAAAATAAATGAATAAATATTGACCACTCAATATTTCATCCTCTGTATATAGCGTAGACCATTATTATGCTTAAATAAAAGATTTAAAATTTATTATACGAGATAAAATTATTTTCTATATATATAAAAATACGTAAAGTCAACATGTGATCATTAAAAGAGAAAAAAAGAGAAAGAGAAAAACTAAGTCTTAAGAAATTTTATATATATAAAAGATAATTTTATCTTCTATAATATTAAAAACTTTAAATCCTTAAATAAAAAATATTGTCAACAATAATTATCTTTTTGTAAAATATGTACTTTAACATGTGCATGATTATTTGATTTCCTATGACTTTTTATATATTTTATAATTATAATATTAATGGAGTATTAAAATTTATTTACTCCTTTATTAATGTATAGAATCCTATATAAGCACATAAATCCCATAAGAATTGGGATAATCAATGGAAAATAAGATTTCTGGATACTTCCATATAAACCTTTCTCTTATTTCTCTTAACTTATCTTTCTTTATTTTATAACACATCTTCACTACTAGAAAATGTTTTTTTTTCGACGGAAAAATTCTGTCGAAAATAGTTAAAATTCCGTCGAGAATGATAGTTTTCGACGGAAATGAAGCCGTCGAATATATCTTCGTGGGTAACAATTTTTTCGACGGAATTACAGATTCCTTCGAAAAATTTCGACGGAATAATTTCTGTGGGAAGTTTCAACGAAAAAATAATTCCGTCGAAAATTTTCGACGGAAAAAGAATGAATTTTCGTCAAAAAATCTTGTCTCAATTTGTGACGGAAAATGAATGAAATTCCGTCGAAAATTGTTGTAATGGTTTACGACGGAAAACTGATTCCGTCAAAAATTTTCGACGGAAAATCAAAGAAATTCCGTCGAAAATTGTTGTAATGGTTTTCGACGGAAAACTGATTCTGTCAAAAATTTTGACGAAAAATCAATAAAATTCCATCGAAAAATCTTGTATTAGTTTTCGACGAAAAACAAATTCCATTGAAATTTTTGACAAAAAATGAATAAAATTCCGTCAAAAAAATTTGTAATCATTTTTTACAAAAAATGAATTAAATTCTATCAAAAACTATTGCCTTAATTTTCAACGAAATTGCTTTTTTGTCAAATTTTATTTTAATTTTGCTGTACAAAATTAATACCTACTTATCTTTTGCACCTGATTAACAAATATAAAGAAAGTAAATAATATATCAAATTCATATTGATCTTAATATAATTATGTGTACAAAAATCTCTGTTATATATTAATAAAAAAAGTCTATGTCCATGTCATATACATCCAAACAAGATACAAAAATAATGACTTTTCTAGTAGTGTTCTTCTTTTTTTGGTGTGGATAACACATCTTAAATTGTAAGAAACTTATTTGTATTAATCACCGTTACCTTTAAATAAAAAATACTGTCAACAACAATTATCTTAAATAGTAAGGAACTTATTTATTAAAGGTTTTGAAGTCGAGTTTCGAGAATGAAAAAATAATATTGGGGAAGTAACCCCTATACGTTACCAATATGATATGCACATATATACACCATGAACCGAACTAAATAAGATTTCCGATAAAATCGGTAGAAAAAGAAATTATTATAATTGAAAATGCATTAATCAATCCTGTTTTAGTTTGTGTCTAAAAAAAGTAAAAAAGGGTTTAAATATTTTTTTCTATATCACTCATTTTTTATTGATTTTTAAATCTAAAAAGGTTTTTAATTTAATGACAATTCAAATAATAGATTTCATATTCGTCTATATGCCATGAGATTATTATATATAGATTCTATAAAACATAGGGATCAAATTGAAATAACTGTCAATTATATGGATAAAAAAACTATTTTTTTTTAGGTGACACTTGTTTTTAATTTAGTCACACATTTTAATGTGTTAAAAAAACAGCAATAAATGGTATTATAATAATAACAAACAACAGGGACCAAATTAAAAATAATTATACATATAAGGATTAAATTGAAAATTTTATTTATATAAAAACTAAATTGAAAATGAATATTACTATTTCAACTAAGGGTTTAATGTTTTTTATATTATATGAAAAAAAATTATCTATTACATACATATAAAAGTGTGTGAAATTCATTTGTTTTTATCTTTTTCTTACATGGCCTCACATAGATCCCGTACGAATTTGTGTATATACAAGAGATAAATTTATCTTTTATAACATAAGAAATATTAAATCCCTTAACTAAAACACTATATTTTTTTATACTTTTACTAACTGGTTCATGTTTTATGACTAATTCGATTGGGGATTAAGAACAGTTAACGACTTCCTCTCCCAATTTCGAACTTGTATTCTCTATCTTACAGGAGCCTTAAGCTGCTATCACTTGACTAACATTGGATAAAACACTATTTTTTTTACTGTTAAAACATTGGTTAAGAATATATTAATTAAAAATATATTAATTAACAGATGTGGAAACACCTGCACATGGGAACATGTGACTCGTGTCAGTACGTACGAAGATTCTTGTTGAACTTACTAAGATTTGAAAATGTGAACACTCTGTGTTACCTATAAACATTCTTGTCGAACCTACTAGAAATTGAAAATGTGAACAGATAAGTAATCAGTTAGTGCGGGAAGCTTTTTTTTTTTCTTCTTATATAAGTCGAAGGTTGGTTAAATATATTTTATACTGAAAAAACATTAAAAATTTCCGAATTTTTTTTTTTAAATGTATGTCAGTTTTTTAAGCTTTTTTTTTAGTTCTTTTTTATTCTAAATTTTTATTTATAAATTTTATCATTTGTTTTAATAATAAATTATTCAATTAAATTCCCTTCAAAGATTTAAGAATAATTTTATATAATTATTAAATAATTTTTAACTTTATTTTTAAATTTTTTTGTTTAATAAACTTAAACATAATTTTTAACTTAAAAAAAATGTCAAACATGCTCTTAATACACTATTTGAATAAAACTTTTAATATGATTAATTATAATTACAGGACAAACTGTATATCCCAAAATTCCGCATGTTTATTCAACAAGCACCAAGGTTGCACGAGAAACACGAGATGACAACGTCAGACTCATCTGCAGCAACTCTCCCACCACCACAAAAAATCTAATATATTTTTGCAATATGTAAATCCGATTAATATGAGCATTACATGTTAGTTGACATATTTTCTAAAAAGACAAAAAATTAAAATTACCTGGCAATATAATGATTTAATTTAAATAAAATAAATAAATAATAATATAAAGAGACATGAGCTATAAGGAACATTATGTTAATTAAATATTAGTAATACCATATTGAGAAGTAAAAATTTGTTTTTAATTAAACTATCAGAGTATATATTAAATAAACATTATATCAATTATTAAAAGAAAAAAGAAATAACACAATTTAAAAGTAAACAGAATTACATGTAAGTACTGTAATATAACAAATTAAATCAAGTATTCATGATAAGACTTTTTATTTTAAAAATGACAATAATGTTAGGGTGTAATACTGATAAAAAATAGTTTACCAAAAAATAATTACTGATAAAAAATAATCAAGTATTAGTAATATAGCATATAATAAAATCGTATTGAGAAATTATAACAAAAATATTAAATATGACGAATAATATAAAGTCAAATCGCCTTGACACATTATAATTAATGATAACTATTATAATTAATTAAAAACTAAGTACATGTTTCAATCAAATTATTTTAATGTCAAAAAACACTTTTTTTTTAGCTTTTTGATAGAGTTTCTAATAAAGAAAAATATATTATTACCTAAAAATAAACTTTCTCAAACGTGCAATAACTATCATAATTAATTGGGACATTATCCTTTGATACTAAATCTTAATTGTTGATTTTATGAATTTAATGATTATAATTTATTAAGTCATAATTATTAATTAATTATTAATTCTTAAATCATCATATTAACTAAAATCAACGGTGGTGTCAAACTTTTTAGTTTAATACTGGTATAAAAAGACCATATCCTTAATTAATTATGTGTCGATAACTTATTAATTTAATGCACTCTATAATAGCCCTAACCTAATTAATTAGCAAATTACATGTAATTAAATAATTAAGCATGTTTTAGTGAGTAAAAATAAGTATAAGGCTTAATTAAATGGATCTGAGTCACTTTGGAGTTAAAAAGTGTACTCAGTGAAAATTAAGGGGTGTAAATGGGTAATGGCAAAAGTGCCCAAAATACAGAAATAAAAATGGAAATATTCCTAGAGAAATATTCCAGACTTTTGGGTAAAGTTTGGTAATTAATGGAGTTGAATAGATAGATGAACCAATACTCACATAAGCCACTTAACTAGTAAGTGACTTAAAAACACAAAAAAGAATCCAAACCCCCCATTTTCCCGTCGACCATCAGAGAAGAAAGGAAGAAGAAGGAGAAGAAGAAGAAAGGGAGAGAGAGGAAGGAGGAAACCTTGACCGTTTTGAGTGATTCAAAAGCCTAAATCGCTTAGAATCTCACCCTCTTTCATAATCTTAGCTTAGTTCTTAGTGGGGAGCTTTGTGTGGTGAGATATTGCCCCTCAAAAATTTGACCCTTTGTGAGATTTTGGGATTTTGAGAGCTTCAACCTCCATTGAAGTTTGAGGAGCCATCAACCCTTGGTTGTGCAACCATTGGTGGTAAGATTCTAACCCTTGAACCTCATTTTCATGGAAAATTGCATGAGTTAGGGTTCAATGAATAGTAAATTGGGGTTTTGATGAAATGTGGTTAAATTAGCTATGTTCTAGAAAGAATGGAGCTTAGTGTATGTGGTGAAAAATTCTAGGAATGACATTTAATCGGTGGAAATGAGTTTAGATAGCTAAATGAGTATATTTGGAAAATGGCAAGAATATGACACTTAGATATTGGATTTCTTGCATTGTTAATAAATGGTTTGGTTTGGTTGGTTGTTGATTACGCCTTGGTGTTGTCTAGGATTGAGGCAATTGGACCAACCTTGAGAGACCAACCATTATGGAGCTTGATTAGCTCCATTGGATAGGTGAGTTCATGCTTATGTTTGGTATGGATTGTATAGCTTGGTTGATAGCTATGAGATGTTATTGGATGCAATATGTGTTAATTGCATTAAACCTTGTGTAGGTATTGTTTGAGAAGTGGAGTATTGTAATTGACTGACTGTAGAATTCGTGGGTGGTGAACAAAGGTCGAATTGAAGCTTGAGGTAAGCCTTCGGACCTTGGGTGTAATTCCCTTGATTGTTCCACCAAGCCCTGAAAGGGTAGTGGTGATTATAGTGTATATAAATGCAATGAAATAGTGTAATGCTTTGTTATACGTATGTGTATGCATTTGGTGTGGCATAGTATGGTGTTTCCCTATGTGGTATGTTGCATGAGGATGCGTAAATCATACTTGGTAGTTAGCTGGCCAGTAGGACTATTTGCATATGAGTTTCCTTAGGACAACTTGAGAGCTCGAGGGATTTCTCCTGGAGATGTTATTGCACTTTGCATAGATATGTATTTACTGCATTATTATTGTTATTGCTATTACACTGATATGAAACTGTGGGGTGGAGAGATGCTCCAAGTGGGTTACTGGATATATTCGTATATCTCACCCCGTGTTGTAGGGACCCCCTTTCAGGTAAGGATGCTGCAGGAGCTTCTGGTGGCAAGTGGCCATATCTGGATTAGCATATGCATGAAGTGTTGCATTTTTTTAGATTATACATGTTGTTTTGTAGCTCACATGTATAGAATTGTAATGATAGGCAGAGATAGATTTATGATTGGTATATTGGAATGGACTTACCCTATGCTCATGCCTTTGGTCATCTCTTTTGTTGATGGGAGCCAAGGGAATGATCATAGTGTTCGTAAGCTAAGTTCCATGATTTGTAATGAATATGTACTGTAAATGATGCCTACTTGAAATTCATTATATGCATGCTTTTATGTATTGAGTTATTGAATTGGTTGGACTGAGAAATTATATTAGGTACCTAGTTCTAAATTGGGAATTGTTGAGAAAACAAAGGTTATGCTGCCCAAATTTTAGTACAAGCCATGAGGAAAAGGGCATGCATGTTTTTTTAGATGTATTTGTATTATGCAAGAATTAAGAACCATTTATGGAGAGGAATTTATATGATAGATTTGGACTGTGGTGTATGTATGGAAGTTGTAGATATTTTTCTTAGCTTTTCATAGAGACCAATATTGTGTAATTTGGACAAGTACAACTCTAGTTAGAGGTAAAATACTAAGATTTGGTGAAACCTTCAGAACTCTGGCGCACATCGCGCCATTGTGCTCGAAAGCTTCTGTTTCGTGGCGCACATTGCGCCGGTGTTGGCGCAAATCGCGCCGGGATCACCAGCGGGCGCACCTGGCGCCAACCTTGGCGCATCCAGCGCCATAGTGATAGGGAGCTTCTGTTTCGTTGGCGCCCTCCGCGCCACAGCTGGCGCCAGTCGCGCCGGGATCAGCAGGATTCGTGCACGCGTTTCGTAGAAAACCCATAACTTGGGCTACAGTGCTCCGATTTGAGCGCGGTTTGAACCCACGCGTAGCTAATGAAGAGATCTACAATATAGTAGAAGTTGTGAAATAAATAAGAAGTAAATTAATGGTTTAAAAATGGAATAAGAACATGATGTTAAGCTTGGTTTATCTGATTCCGCAAGGTAATATGGTTATGATCACGCAATTGGATATTTTAAATTCGGCGTCGTTTTAAAAAGAAAAATTTATCCGGATCTTTAATTGAGCCAATGTGATTGTAACTGCGCTTAATATCATAATGCGATGTTAACAAACCAGTTCTAGAACGGGGTGTTACACACTCAACTTATATTTTTTTTTTAAATTTACTAAAGAAATATTCTTATGTACTGAGGAGAAAAACTGAAAGAGTGCATTAAATTAAGTCAACTAGTCAAGCATGTGATGTGCATGTACTCACGGAAAACAACAGAAAGCTTTATATTTGTATTATTCATAGACCAGCATCTATTTTGGACTAGCTAGTATATATCTTCTATACGTGTGGTTGTGAAAAATAGATAATTATTTTCACGAAGATTTATCCATCATATAATACAAGGAACGTGTTTCGGGTTATTTAATTTGAGCAATGAAAACAACACCTCGCCAACCCAAAATATAGAAACTACAAAATTATTTTTGCTGAAGATATTTGGGTGCATGTACTATAACAAAAAAAAACGAGGAATCAATTAATAGGTCATCAGGGACTTGTATGTGTGGTCCATTAATAGAATAAATCACGAATTGAAACACTCAGTTATGAGTTATGACAACTTAAAATAAATATAGGCATTTTCTGGTTACAATTGATTTATGAGTTAATTGAAACGGAGTTATCCAAAAAGCACAGTTTTCTTTAGGGATGGTAAACGAACCAGTTTGACTCGGCTCATGAAGACCTGAGTTTACATGTTTAAAATTGATTGTTGGAACCAGGCTTAGACTTGTATAAAAGTTCGTTTAATAAAAAAGCTTCAGACTTCAATTCAAAAGTTCGGCCGTAGAGCCTATCAGACTGGTTTAGTATATTAATTTTTATTTTTATTTTATATTTTTTGTACTACTTGTAATAGTCTCCTCCCTTTCTCTCCTCAATATATTTCATCCATTTTATTAGTTAAACAAATTTTTTAAATGATTTTATTCTATATTTTACTGTTTGGATATACGTTAGTTTATTAATATTTATGAAATTAATAGCGTTGTTGATTGTATATTCTATTTGGATAAATTTTTTTGTCTTTTTTTTTTAAACAGGCTAATAGACTAAACCAAACTTTTATTTTTTGTAAATAAGTCAGGTCACAAGTTGATAATTATATTCATAACAAGTAACAGACTTGGTCAGACTGACATATTTAAACATAAACTTAACCTTTTAAGACCAAACTTCGACTCGACCGGTTTATACTAGTAGTCCTCTTACATACTTTACACTATTTGATCACAAAAGCGCTTCCTAAAACAGCCAACTGTCGCTTTCCATTAAATAAAATATTAAATAGTTTTCATGATTTTATCATATTAAATATGCTTATTTTTTAATATTTATAATTTGTTTTTAATAAAACTATCAAGTATATATATTAAATAAACATTATATAAATTATTAAAATAAAAAATAAATAACCCAATTAAAAAGGAAAAAGAATTACATGTAAGTAATGTAATATAACAAATTAAATCAAGTATTCATCATGATAAGATTTTTTTTTTAAAAAAGACAATAATGTTAGGGTGTAATACTGATAAAAAAATAATCAAGTAATAGTAATAGCGTATGATAAGAACAAATTTAATAATTTTTTTTTTTAAATATTAAATACGAAAACTCCCAAGCTAGCAACACACCAGTAATATAAAGTCAAATTGCGTTGACAAATTATAATTAATGATTAACTATTATAGTTAATTAAAAACTAAGTGCATGTTTCAATCATATTATTTTAATGTCAGAAAAACCTCTTCTTAGCTTTTTGATAGAGTTTTTAATAAAGAAAAAGAGATTATTACATAAAAATAAACTTTCTCAAACATGCAATAACTAGCTACCATAATTGATTATGTGTCAATAATTTATTAACTTAATAGACTCAACTTAGATTTTTTAAATTTACTAAAGAAATTTTTGTATGTATTGAGGAGAAAAACTGAAAAAGTAGATTAGGGCTGTTTGATATGATATATAATGCCTCGTAGTATAAATTTATATTATACATTATGATATTTTTAGTTGTTTGATATAATCATAGTATAGTATAAACTTATATAGCAGAATTTCGTAATACTTCAAAATGATGTATAATTTAATCAGGCCTAAGAATGTGGGATTAGGCTTGATAAGAGGTTGATGTATTAACATTGTTAATCAATGAAATTATCAAGAATTAATATATTATTTTAATATTAATATATTAAAAAAAAATTAATTTTTAAAATATTGAAGATTTTTATTTTTATAAAAATTAATATATTTTTTGTGCACACTAACCAATAGACATATTTGGAAGAATAATATAAATTCTCTATTAAAGGTTATTTTTGTTAAAATAATTATTTTTATCTTATCTTGTATTATACAACGCATTATCAAATATTTGATGATATTATTTTATATAATATCATGTCAAGTACTAGATAGTACTAAAATTTAATCAGATCTTATACTATTAGACCTTATCATATACTATGAATCAAATATGTACTTCAAGTCAAGCACGTGATGTAGACGGAAAACAATTGAAAGCTTTGTATTAGAAAAAATATTTATGCAATTGCTACAAAAAATTTTATTTGCCAACACACATTATATTTTTTTAGAATATATAGATAAATTTTTTGATATGATCTATATTGTAAGGGATTCATTCCTTTTGTTGTGAGACCTATTTTTTTTTATGAGAGCAACAAACAAACTTTTCTGCAGCAGAAAAGTTAAGCCCACTTTGTATTATTCGTAAACCAGCATCTATTTTGGACTAGTATCTACCTATACGTGTAGTTGTGAAAAATCGATCCCTATCTTTACGAAGATTTATCCATCGTATAGTTCAAGGAACGTGTTTCAGGTTATTTAATTTGAGCAATGAAAGCAACAACTCGCCAACCCGAAATATAGAAACTAGGCAATTATTTTTGCTGAAGTTATTTTGGTACGCACGTACTATGTCCCTGTTTAGGGAGCAAATGTGTACTGCACCCCGGCCTCACACCCAGTTCACGTGGGCGGCCTAGAGAAAAAGGAGAGAGAGAAAGAAATCAGGGAATTAATTTCCTTGTTTAGGATGTCTTCTTCTTTAATTTTGCTTCTATTAATAATTAGAAGTTACGCAAAATAGATTTTTATAAAAACTTTTACAATAAAAAAAAAAATTATGATGAAAAAAAAATATCTAGGAAAAACTTTTTTTTAAGTTATATTAATTTCTTTTTAATTTGAGCTTTAAAGTTAAAATTTTTATATAATCATTAAATATCTTTTAGCTTCTTTTTGTAAAGTTTTTTTTTTAAGCTTTAGTTTAATTATTTTTTTTAACTTAAAAAAAAGAGCAGATATACTTACAACCAAAAAAGTTTATCACCTTTATAACCAATCTAATCACCGTTGATTTATGTCAATCTAACGGTTATTATTTATTGAAATTAATAATTAATTAATAAATGCGACCCAATAATTTTTAATAAACGATAATCGTTAGATTGACGGAAATCAATGATGATTAGATTGGTTGCAAATGTTGTAAACTTTTTTTATGGTAAGTATATCATTCCCCCAAAAAAATTATACCAAACATGCTCATAGATGACGTGGAATCAATTAGGGGCTTGTACGTGTGATCCATTAATAAAATAAATCACGAATTGAATCACTTAATTTGGACAACTTATAATAAATGAGTTCGGTTTTTTCATTGTCAATGTAAATAATTTATCTACATTAAGTCCAAAACGATATCGTTTTGAGGCAGAAATCAAGGTACTTTTGTAATTATAAATTATTTCAGAGTTATAATAGTCTTTTTCATTATAATTTTTTAATTTTTCAACCCAAAACGATGTCGTTTTGGGAGCAAATATAGATAACTTATTTATATTCACAGTAGAAATATCAAAGCCATAATAAATATAGGCATTTCTGGTTACAACTTGTGATTTATAAATTAATTGAAAGGGAGTAATCCAATATCTGATTTGGCCGACCCAGATATATAAGCAAATATTTATAAAGATGAAGGACATACCCTTCCCATGATCGGAAGGAATTTGAAGATCATTAGAGATATAAATATAAAATTATATATATGATCTCACTTATAAATTTACGTTTTAGGGCGAGTTAATTACTTTATTTGATATAGAGGTTGTGATCAAGTGATTATAATTTCAACA